TAAAACAAAATCGTGACATCTCTCGTGTCATCATATTCCTCGATCTCATAACTCTCGTCAGACGATGATAAGATAGATTCCGGGTCGCTTTCCGAGCACTGCATGCGTATAGCGGCCATTGTGAAACGATGACAAGTTCCCCCCGTGACGTCACAAATCACCCTTGTATGCTAATTAGGTTCTCTAGCTGAAGCCTCGTTCTGAGTCGGCCAAGAAATTGGACGTGGACGTTTCCTTATCCAGAACATTATTATTGATCGTTTATTTAATTTATGTACATTTTTCACTTGTTTTTTTTTCATAATGTTGTTTATAAATAAATTTTGCACAAAAAAAAGTAAATTGTCCCAATTCAGTTACACTTTAATGTCTTGTTTATGAGCCTGTCTCGTTTTTTCTTTTCGTTCTCATAAATTGTCCCATTACTTTCATACGCTATGGTTTTTTCAGTATATAAACCATGAGACATCAAAGATGCAACACTGACTACGTCTTGCTGTGCATAGAAGAAACCACAAAGCTGAATACTGACTCAAAGCTCGCAAAATGGTTTTTCGTGGTGAATATTCATAAGTTGATCATTACGTTTTTCCCATTACTAATTCAATGCAGAATAGTTTACAAAACTTACTGAAGGTCACAAAATATATATCTATAGAAGGTATGTAGTGGTGGATTTTAAGTCAGATACGTATAGAGTATAAATTAAGATCTGTTTAAACCACGATTTTTGATCATATAGACTGTCATTGGGCTATGGTATTCTTTGTCAGTACACATTGATTAAATTATGAATAAGTGATAGATAGTTTAGCAGCCGCCAACTCTTCTTCTAAGTGAGACTCCCTTCAAATCCTTTTATGTTAGAGGTACGACCCACACGACAACGAGAGAGGTGAATGTTCCTGGCTGGCTTTGGACACATTTACATTACTATAAAAACAAGGAGAATACTTCACAGTGTAAATTGATACTGTAGTAGGAATGACTCGATACCATGTGCGTATTCTTCAGGCTGTGGTGCCCACCAGCAGTCATTGACGTTCAAATGTTACAATGACATTTGACTTGGGTCAAAACGACGCTCGCAAAATGTGTGTGCTCACAAACGCCTTTAAACATAAAACAAAATCCTACACATGTATTGAGCTCACATGTGATAGTAGGCTTTTATCTGAGCCATTCGTGACATGAAATAACATGTCTTTTGTTTAAGTAATCAATCAATCAATCAATCAATCAAATATTTAGTTTACCTAATAATGTACACTTGTAATTTACAAAACAAATTAAAAGAATCAATTACAATAGGTAAAATAGGAACCAGAAATAGCCGTTGGCTAATCTAGTCTGATTCCTCAGAAACAAATGAATTACACTGTACTGTCTTACACAACAATAATAAATAATGGTTATTGAATGTTTCTTTC